GTTGAACAGATACATGATTGAGATGGTCAGTTGATAGAGAGCTAGCAGATGTGAATCTTCTTATGATATTGAGCGTAGATATAGAATCGTGCAGCCTGCTATAACTACATATGATTACAGCATCGGTGGAATCGGTCGTTAGTGGGATCGAGCTACAAGAGTTGAATCGTCATTATAACTGAGACTGACAGAGTGTTGAATCGGGCAGAAAAGAGTACAGACGCTTAAGCGATCAGCCTTCATGACCAAGTACATGTGGTCGTCGTACATAGCGCTACAGCACGAGAGAGTATCAGTTAGTAGTCCTAACAGAGCCTAGACACCGGCATGTTTTACAGCGCCCCGGACAGGCCCGTTAGATTGTCACCGCTTCACACCGGGGGTACATGTATCGTAACAGCCTGTCGTTTAGATGCGGGATTCGCAATCACAATAGACACAAGCCGTTAATTATAATCTGCAAAACAAGCGCATTTAGTGCGTATACAAAATACGGTTTACATAGGTACCGAATCCTGATTAGAGATGTACGAATGGGGTACATGAGTTTCGTTCTACTCGTTCACCGAGCCATTTGTCTCAACACGCTTTTTATCATGAGATTCGTTCACCTTAGCCGCTCACGAGACATATAATCATCGTGGGCCCGCGGCGCATCACAGACAGTCATCATAAAGTATAGCTATTAAGCACCGGATTCTTCGAATTTGATTACAAGCCACTAATTTACGTATAATCAGAGGGGGTCGACGAAATGCCACCTTCATGGACCCCCAAACCTTAATCTTCTTTATTGCCCTTTTGAAAAGCCACTATCGAATTTTGAAATGCATTTCTGTACGAACCTTTGGACATAACATGAAAAATGTGTTTAGACAAAATGTAATGATATTAGATAATTACCGCTTTTGCATATATTCAAAATGGCTGGCATTAAATATCAAAATTTATTACAATGGCAACTCAACACCGCCTATAGTCGTGCATTTAGTCATTTTATTTACTTTCGATTTAATATATAACAAAACAGTAATTATAACCGGAGGTTCTGGAAACATCGACCTTTGTAGACCGAGAAAGTGTTATTTGCAACTTGATGCGTGTTGCGTGTATTTCTCACGATATGCTGCAACAGCTGCCGCTGCTGCCGTCGCTGCCGTCGCTGCTGACGTCTGCAGACGATTCACATCTGTAGTTCTATATCTAACGATTCTGATCTGTAGCTCTATAGCTGACGATTCACATCTGTAGCTTTATAACGGACGATTCACATCTGTAGCTGTATAACTGACGATTCACATCTGCAGCTCTATAACTGACGATTCACATCTGTAGCTGTTTAACTGACGATTCACATCTGTAGCTCTATAACTGACGATTCACATCTGTAGCTCTATGACTGACGATTCACATCTGTAGCTCTATAACTGACAATTCACATCTGTAGCTGTTTAACTGACGATTCACGTCTATAGCTGTATAACTGACGATTCACATCTGCAGCTCTATAACTGATAATTTACATATGCAGCTGTATAACTAACGATTTATATCTGTAGCTCTATAGTTGACGATTCACATCTGCAGCTCTATAACTGATAATTTACATTTGTAGCTCTATAACTGACGATTCACATCTGCAGCTGTATAGCTGATAACTTATGTCTGTAGTTCTGTGACTGATATGTGTATGTGTGTGCGCATCCTCCTATGTTCCGCGAGATTAATACATTATCGCTTGCATTAAATATTTAACTGGTTTCATTCAGCATCAAATACTAAGCTGAGCATACCTCGTACACGGGCGATCAGTTAATTGTGTTTAAAGAGGTATATGTCTAAACAGATGGTCAGATAGGTGTATGTTGAAGTGGCGCATGAGAAGTTTTCTAAGTGTGACAAGTATATGTTGTAGAACTCCGTCGTAAGAAAGGGCAATATTTTTGTTTAAATGACTACTGTCGGCCATAATCTAGTCCTATAGGGATTACGTTGCCGCGCACAGCACCAGGAACAGTTATAAAGAGTACAACCGCTTTTACGGTTGTATTCCTTCTACATGGTAAATTTGCTGCATCTCACATCACTTTTTTCTGTTTCATCATTAGTTGCGTCATACGCATTACTAAATTAGCCTATATCAATTTCGGCATGTGTAATAATTCAAATTAACTACAGGCACACGTACATGATTGAGACGTGGGAGCTCAGGTTGTATTCAGTGGCAGGACAAGATGCCAGCCTGTGATTGGTTCAGGTTATAGGTTTTTATCGACACACGGTAAGAAAGAAGCTGATGCGCTCGCGCAAACAGAAGTATATAACGACATGCATGATGCTACCTAGGCAGTCTCTAGCTCGCGTCGCCATCGTCAATCCATGTAACATCTAAATTCTAGTCGCACAAAGATCCCAAGACAGCCGAGTAACTCACCGAAACGTAGACTATTTTAAAGCTTCGCGCATCGACGATGGATGTGACTTTGTTTTTAAATGATAGCAACCTGATAGGTATTCTCCGAGACAACGCCGATGAGGATTACCCTGACGACGCAAATATCACTACTATGAAAACACGTACAAAATCTGTAAACGTCCCACTGTTTGTACTGGTTTCGCTATTTATAGTGCTAGGCAATGGGCTTGTGATGATCGTTATAGCAAAGATTCGCCGGTTGCAAACAGCAGCAAACATGACGATCGCTAATCTGGCCTGTTGTGACTTCATAATCGGTTGTACATTCTGGACAGGGATCCTACGCCGTGACACGATGCTGCGGTGCACCGTATTTACGTGGTATGCAATCACGGTTCTTCATCTGTCCTTGATAGGAATTGCACTCTGTACGATCAACAGATACGTGGCCATCGTCCATCCGTTACGCTACAACCAGCTGATGACTCCTGCTCGCACTGGTGTTCTCATAGCTTTATCGACGACGTACGCGATTGTGATTGGGATCGCAGCAGCCATCCAAACGTCATATCACTGGGAGCCGTTTTCCATCTGCATCATTGAGCTAAAACTCACACCAGGAATGGTGTATGTCATTTGCAGTCACTATATTATTATATTTATCGCCATGGTTTACTGCTACATCGTCATCACAAAGATTGCCTGGGACCACACACGAAGAATGGCCGCAGCATCAGATGAGGAGAGAGAAGATATGTCCGCTTTCCACGCTACGCTGTAGATGTCCAAGATCCTACTTACAGTTGTCGGCACTTCATTTACTCTGCTTACACCGCACGTTCTTCACATGATCTTAATCCACAACTTCCCGTTCCGATTTAGAATACTTCGGCTGATTCGAATAAATGCACTGACACTTAATTCATTGCTGAATCCAATCATCTACTTCTACAAGTACAAGGACTTTCGTCACGCAGTGAGGGAACTATTTGGTTGTGCCACGTCCACTGTTAACCCATCTCAGCCGAACGTGGAGCAAGGCCCTTAGTTAACATAAAAGATGGTAATGTACGTGCTGACTGCAGTGTTAGATGGCATTTGGGCACTAGCCTGTTTACTTATGACTGTTCACTGTTTACTTATGACTGTTCACTGTTTACTTATGACTGTTCACTGTTTACTTAGCCTGTGTTTATATTACATCCGTGATGTTTTGCCATATAATAGTTTTACGCTTAGATATCACATATATTTAATTTCTCAAAAACGATAATGGATCCACGAATTTATGGTAGTTAAATAGATTATTATATAAACATATTATGGTCGATTAATATAACAGTTGTCTATATCAACATAACGTCGCATACCGCCGCAGTACTTCATATATATATATATATATATATATATATATATATAGTATATATAGATATATATATATATATATATATATATATATGAAAATATAACAGAAATATGAGCTATATAACCTCAATGTAAGTAAGGACGAGTAAGATACAGAGTCATTGTGTTGTATCGTGTATGAGTAGATTTAATAAAGG